CTCTTTTGATCATAGTATTGTATTGTACTCCTTTTAATTTCTTTGACATTGGTTATAATGTCCAGTGTTTGTTTCTGGCTTTGTTGTTTGAGTCTTTCCCTCTCTCTCTCTCTCTCTCTCTCTCTGTCTCTCTCTCTCCCTCTCTCTATTTTTGGTTAACATAGTTGAGTGGATTGGGAAATTTGTTGATTATTTTTTTAAAAGTAACTTTTGGTTTTGTTAATTTTTGTGTTGTTTTTCTGTTCTCAATTTTATTTATCTTTGTTCTAATATTTATTATTTTTTCTTCCTTGAAGCTGTGAATTTAGGTTTTTATTATTTTTCAAGGTTCCTGAGGGCTTAAGTTAGGCTGTTGATTTGAAGTTTTTTTAATGTAGATATCAAAAGCTGTAAAGTTCCCTCTTAGCACTGCTTTTGCCGCATGTCAAAAGTTTTAATATGCTCTATTTTGTTTCCATTTGTCTCAATATATTTTAAAATTTCTCTTGTAACTTCTTATTCATCAAATTTCTTTTCAAATATAGCATACTGCTAAATTCAAAGATATCTGTAGAATTTCCAGGTTTTTATTTTACTGTTGGATTCGAGTTTGATTTCACTGTGTCCTAAAAAAGTACGTTGCATAACTTCAATCTTTCTGAATTTGTTAAGAACTCTTTTTGTGTGACTAACATGTGGCCTACTCCAGAGAATGTTCTTTGAGCCTTTGAGAAGAATGCATATTTTGCTGCTGTTAGGTGGGGTGTTCTGTACATGTCTGTTCTCACCCATTATTTTGTAACATTGTTCTTGTCCTCTGTTTCTTTACTCAACTTCTGTGTGAATATTTTTTCTTTTCTTTAATGTGGGGTATTGAAGTCTTTTGTTATTACAGTGCTGCTGTCTATCTCTGCATTCTGTTCTGTACAAGTTTGATTCATAGATTCATGTGTTTTGAGGATTGAAGCATACATATTTATAACTGTAGTACCATCTTGGTGAATTGAAACATTTATCATTATATAAATGTTTCCATTTATCATTATATAAAACTTTCCTCTTTTTTTTTTTTTTTTTTTTTTGGTGGCTTGCTGGTATGGGGAACTGAACTCTTGACCTTGGTGTTACAAGGCTGTGCTCTAACCAACTGGCTCTAACCAGCCAGCCCCATAAAACTTTCTTTGTCTCTTGTAACAACTTTTGACTTTCCATCTATTTTTTCTCATATCAGTAGTGCCAGAACTACTGTCTTTTGGTTACTATTTGCATGTATATATATTTGCATTGAATATACATACATATATATAGAGAGAGATATTTGCATTGAATATTCAAATATTTGCATTCTTTTACTTTCAACCCATGTGTGTTATGAGATCTAAAGGGAGTTTCTGGTAGATCATATAATGTTGGATACTGATTTTTTGTTTATTTGTACAATTTAAATTCTTTGGGGAGTTTAATCTATTTATATTTAAGGTAATTACTGATGGTAAAGTACTTGCTATGGACATTGTCTTAATAGCTTCTCTGTGTCCTAGAGATTTTGTTTCTCCTTTTCTTTCTTACTTGCTTTTTGTTTTATTTTGTTAATTTTTGTAGTGATATAATTTGATTCCTTTGTAATTTCCTTTTATGTATATTCTATAGATATTTTTATCATTTGTTGTTATCATTAATGCAATTACATTAAATAGTTTAATGTTATATTATTCTATCTTAAAATGATAAGAACTTTATTTCACTTGTATGCAAAATTCTACGTATTTATTGTTCTAGCACAAAATTTATGTTTGCTCTTGGTGTGACAAATTACATCTTATTTATTATATACACTAACAAATATTTTTAATTAGTTTTATGTTTTTGTCATTTAACTCTACACATCATTCTCAGACCAAGAAAGACTGTTACTGTGTGATCTCACTTAACATTTTGAACCTAAACTACTCAGTCTTAGAAGCAGAGAGTTAAATGGTTAACAGGTTTTGAGAGTTGAAATAAGAAAATGTTGATCAAAAGGTGAACAAAAATAATTCAAGTTAGTACATTTGTCCATGTATTTACCTTTA